TGAAAAAAAATATTACCAGTGATACATATTTGAAAGAAAATTATTACCAGAATTAGAATTTTTGAAGGAAAAATTTTACCAGAAATAGATTTAAAAAAAAAAATATTACCAACAATAAAAATTGTCAGCATTGAGGTTGATATGCCATAAAACCAAAACAAACTAAACCAAACCTCTTAACATGTGGATTAAAAATATTTTCAATTTTGTCTTTGGTTGTATGTTGTAGGAATCATGTGTAGTAGTTGGTAATGATAAAAAGGGGAGAAAAAAGCACACTTGAGGTTCATTGTTAATTTTTCTGAGCCAATGTATAATTGAGATGAGTAGAGAGCAGTTGAAGTGAAAACAGGCAGGATAGAAGAAAAGAATTTGACAACTTGAAGAGGATTTTTTTTTTATTATAACCAGTCATTCTTTCACTGGTTGAAGTGAAAACAAGAATAAAGCATATTAAAACTGCTTCTGAAACCACAGCTACTATGAACTTGTTAATGCCTCCCATAACAAAAAAAAAAAAAAAAAAAAAATAGATGGACCTCTTCCAATTTAGTATGGTCTTGTTTTACAATTACTATCATGAGATGTTAACAATCCTGTGATTTCCTTAGACAGTCATGTTCCACTTGAGGAAAAAAAATCTAAAACTTCTAAATTCTGATACACAAACTTGACAGGCTAGAGAATATATTAGTTTGTTAAAAACAATCAAGATGAAGATAATTATCTGAAAATTAATGGAATAATATTCAAGAGTTTTATGTAATTAATTGACTCTTGATTTCTTTTTAATTTCAAAATGTGTTGCTAAAAGAACTTTTACATAATCCTCTTTTATTTTATAACATTTTTATTTTTAAGCTATTCACAACTTGAAAAAAAATGTTAAAATGGTTTGTTAGAGCAAATATACAAGTCAAAATATTACAACAGCCATTAATATTTAAATATCTATTTTTAGTTTGAGCATTCAAATAGACATTTTTCATGTATATCTTAGTTTTATATTTTTAAAACTTTCTCTTTCTGACTGTTACCCTGTCACACGTGTTGTATCTCTTCCCCAAATGTTCAATTTTAAAATCTTAAATACAGAGATGCAACACAAAATGCATATTAATATCCAGTATTGTGTGTTTATGACTGTAATGAATTGTCCCCTTTGGCCATTTCATCCTGTGGATGAGTAATAATTTTTCTATAACCTTTAGGATAAGGTAACTAAATTCTGTTCTCTGCTTCAGTGTGAAAATTGCCTGTTTGACAAATTATTGATAATTAATTAGATTCTCACTTAGAATTCTAAAACTATAGCTTTTTGCCAAGTTTATTTTTTTCCAAATAAAACTCCTTAGGATAAATATTCTTTTCTATCCCTACAAACCCTATTTCAAATAAAGCTTTATAGTGACTTTCTCTTATTTTATTTTTAATGATTTCCTTTATGCAATGCCTCATTGAAATGACACTAATTTTTCCAATGTTTGTTGTTGAATTAAAAAAAAAATCGCTAAATTCATTGTGAACAAAAATGTTGCATTTTCTTGTTGATTGCATGTAATTAGTTTAAATTTTTAGCCAGAAGTAATAAAATAAAAAAATTAAAATTCTGTAAAGCAATATTTTTTTCTTTATCACTCACAAAAAAAATGCATAAGTTTAAACTTTTATAATCTAACTTCTGTCTGAATTGCTGAGATGAGGAGTTATCATTATTTACACTATTTACATTTGAACTATTGTCCTCATTTTTGTTGCTGTTGTAACATTTCAGCTGTTGTACCCTCCTACCTTAATCAAGTGTATATTGATTCGAGTAACTTACAGGGAATTCTGAACTGAACCCTTTACTTAATCTTGGTCTGCTGTCCATGTCTAAGGATATCTTGTCTAATTCTTAATTTTAGTACTTCTAAGTTATTGTTCATGCTGTTTCCACTGAGTTCAATTATACACTGTCTGGCTCACGGATTGAGCTCACAATTACTATTAGCAAATTCCTGAACCAATGCTTTAATCCACTGTCCTGTAGGAAAATTCTCTGTGGAGAACTAAATCTGCTTACCTGTTGATGAGTGCTGCTGCTTCTTGTCATGCTTGACTGCACTCACTGAAGATTTTCTCTTTTGTTACAGTTGTGCTTACTGTCATTTGTCTTTCTTTCTTTATTAGCAGCTCCCATTTTGTGTTTATTTTTATGCTAAGTCTACCAAGGAGATCCTGTACCCTAGCATATGTACCAATTCTTTGAGATGTCTAACTATTCAATTTTCTTCCTTGTCCAGTATTTTCACTTCATTCCACAGGGGCTGATGATTACCCTTTTCCCTCCATACATGATTAGCCTTGTCTGATTTCACTACAGATTTTCAATGTTCCTCTAGACTTATTTTTAAGGGATGGCTTGTTTCACTTTTATATTGTTTGCCACAACTGCAAGAAATGGAGTATAAACACTTCTTGGTCATATTCTCTCTTGTGTTAGGCTTTACTCAGCAGATATTCCTCCATTGAGTGGAGCTACTTCTGAATATTGTCCTAATGTTGTATGGACCACAGATCTGAATATTTTATGATAAGCCCATGACAAAAGACAGACAGACATGTGGCAATTTTGTGGTTCTTTTTCTTGATCCTTCTGTTTCCACCTGCAGACACTGATGTTATGTTTTCCAGGAAATTTGTTATTTAGAAGAGTATGCTTGATGTTGAATATTACTTCTTGGTATGTGGCTGAGTCACCACTTAGGAATTTTTGCACAGTGTTGTAGACATTGGGAGATCCATTTCTTCACACTGTATGGAGGTGGGAATTGAAGTTGAGATATTGTCTGGTGAAGGTTGGCTTATGATATATAGATGTCTTGAATCAATTATCTGTGAGAGTTATTACTATGTCCACAAAGTCTTAGTTGGTTATTATTTTCTTCCATTGTGAACTGGGTTGAAGGTATTATTGAGTTAACATGGTTCAGCAATATTTGTACAGTTTCTTGGTGAAACCAGGTGTATGATGGTGTCATCTATGTATCTAAGTCATACTGTTGGCTTTAGTGGAGCTGCTCCTATAGTCATTTCCTTGACGTATTACATGCATATGTTCGCTATCACTGATGATAATGGTGAACCTATAGCCAAGCTTCCTCCTTTTGGTATATTTCAGACTTTAGCTAAAAGAATGTTGTCTGTACATAGAATGTCAACATTTCCATCAGATTATTTATTGGAATGTTAGTACATTCTCCCAGGGAGGAGTCTTATTCCAATCATTTTTTAACTACTGTCAGGGCTTCATTTGTAGAAACTCTGGTGAACAGGTTCACTACATCCAAGCTTACCATCTGAGTTCTATGGAGGGGTGCCTCTCAGATCAATTTAGTTTTTAGCAGAAGACAAGGAATTCCCTGTTAGTGGGTTGACTATATCCACTAGGAATCTGCTCAGCAGGTGGTATGCTGAGTCCCAGCAGCTGACTGTAGGTCTCAATGGAATCCAACTTTGTGAAACTTTGGAGATCATTCATGTATGGTAGCTTTGTGTAATGTTGAGTCAACTGTTTATACTTATTTAGTGTAAAGTAGTTCTTGTTCTTATTTAGGATTTGTGATAGCTTCTCAGTTTTTAGGGTTGGATCTTTTTTCATTATGCCACAGCTGTGATCCTTAATGAGGCTTGCCAATTTTTGAGTATTCCAACTTGCCCATCACCACCAAATCATTGCCTTTGTCAGTTGATAGTATAATGATTTTATGATCTAAGTTTATACAAATGGGTAATAACAATCCACAACACTTGGACTGTTAGCGTAGAAGTCATAATCTTAATTTCTGACTCTGTTTGCTATTTATTTATTGGCACATATTTTGAATCTTTCATCAAATCCAAAAGTTTTTCTTCATGTTTAAAATACATTTATTTCAATTACTTTGTATCAATAAATAGCTTCAGGTTTTTATTTTGACATAAAATATATTACGTATGCTGTAAGTGCATTTGAAAATTGACAAACACCAGCTGACTACTGGTATGATTTTCAATTTGCATTTACTCTTCAAAAGATTTTTCTTTTCTTTTTTTTTTAAATTATCTTGTGTTTTTTTGTGGTTTTTTATTACAATATTCTTTAATTGCATGTCTGTTGTTTTCATGCTGAACATAAATTCTCATAATGTATACAAAATAATTTCTGAAAACTTTCAGAAACTGAAACAGGAATAGCCTTTATTTCTTGTAATTCTAGTAAATTCAGAAAATTTAAAAAGAATCTGTTTTAATTCTAGAAACATTAATCTATGGACCAAAAATAATCTCTAGGTATTTACCTAGCTTATTCTGGCACAAGGCCATAAGTGCTTGGCATCTTCAGAACCAAATTCATTATACAGTAGTAATGCTCTCCTAGATTAGCTTGTTGATCATTGTATGATGGCGATCTATCCACCAACAATGATCTATAGAACATTATTCTTCACTTAATATTTGCTACTTTTTTCTTAATCAACATTCAATTCACTATTTTATCTCCTCTTTTCATTGTTCATCAAGCTGGAAAATGTCATTTTATTAAAAAAAAAATAAACTAAAACTTCATCTCAAAATATTTTTTGTGATAACTTTTGTTTTTTAATCAATTGAATAATAAAAGCTGAGATTTTAGTATTTTTAATATTAGACAATTGTTAAAGCTTAATTACAAATACTTTTAATGGAGAAGACATCCCTTTTCTTTTCTTTTTTTTTTTTTTTAAATAAATTAATGTTCACTTGTCTAGACAAATTTTAATAAGAAAATGTACCTCTTGGCCAAGATTGAACCTGCATTCCCTTATCCTGGGGAAACCACATTTTAGCCAAACATGTCTTACCATTTGGTCATGCTAATTCTTGATAGTTGGATAAAGAAGATTAGGTAAAGAATTCTTGTCATATTTTTTCAAAGGTATCTACTGTATATATTTTTAAATAATTTTAAATAATTTTTGTTTCCTTTTTCATTTCAGGTGTGAAAGCCCTCAAGTGTTCCTTGTGTGATTACTCGACAAACGACAAAAGTAATTTTCGTAGACACAAGCGTCTTCACCTTCGGAACAATCCTGTTAACGTACTAAAATGTGACAAGTGCACTTATTCCACTATTTTACCTCGCAAAATTCGTGAACATTATTGTGAGGAGCACAAAGAAGTCCCTAATAGCACTGCAGCTGAACCGACAATTGCTTACTCTGGTCCGACTTACGGTGAAACTCGCTTTAGCTTCAGACATTTTGGTGTTGATCAGAACAGTTCGACAAGCAACCCACTTGGGGTGAGTACATTGCACACCCTATTAACAACTGTACAGTCCCCAAATCTTCAGTTTCGACGGTCAGGTCCTGCACCCATTGGTAACTGCTTTGCCCAGTATAACCATTATGAGACTGCAAGTCAGCAGGCCAACCAAGACACTCACCTTGCATCGAACTATCTTCGTTCCATTGTGTCTTCTATCATCAACAGTCCGCCACCTCCACCACCCCCCCCTCCTCCGCCGCCGCCGCCACCACCACCACCACGAGTGCCTGTCACAAGCACAATTACCTCATCAGGTCTTTATTCCACTGCAGTCTCTTCAGTAACTCCTGCCCTTCCTTCAACCACGGTGCCATCTATTAGTCTGCCTGCATCGACTGTCGTACTGAATGAGACTGATAGTACAGAAGTCAAAGTGAAAGTTGAGCCGTATGAATGTGAAGAGATCTCGGATGTGTCTAGTTCTGCTGCAGTCACTCCAATGCGAACTGTAACCCCGGAGTGTAGTCGAGACCTTCAAATTTCTCTCTCAACATCATCTCAAAGGCAGCCATTGGAATATGAGACTTCTTCCACTGCTCATTTCTCCACGTCAGTGGACGCTGGCCAGTTGACAGAAAGTGGACAGTCTAATTTGAATTTGGCCGATTCTTCTAATAGCAGACTGGAGTATCTTCCAAATATTGATGAAAATTCTGTACCCAATGAAAACCTTGTAGCAACGTCATCAGTAAAGCACTACAGCGAAAGCCCCATCCACCTTTCTTCTAATGTAAAAAATCTGAACGGTGAATCTTCTGCATCTGTGGCAAATAGGAATGTAACTTGTGATAACAGCTCAGTTCTGAAAAGCTTCTCCCAAGAAGAGGTTAATGCCTCGTCGGTGAAAACGGAAACTTCTAGTGTCGCTGTTCAGTGTGTCCTGCCCAATGTGAAGACGGAGGGCTGTAGCAGTGGGCAGGAGACACCAGAAAGGAAACGTTGGCGGAACCAATTCACAGAACGAGCTGTACAATGTGAGCTGCTGCCATCACGTAGAACTGGTTCCCGCTCCATGTCTCTTGCCAGCGAATCTGAGGGAAGTGAGCAACCAAGTACGGCTACAATGACAGACAATCGTTGCATTCACTGTGGGGTGACCTTTGAAGATGAAGTTCTTTTTTCTATTCACATTGGTTGTCATAGTCACACAGATCCATTTGTGTGTAACGTTTGTGGAAAGCAGTGTTGTAATAAATATGGATTCTACTCCCATATCATGCGTGGACATCAATATTGACTGCTCAAAAATGAATCCACTCAAACTGAGATGCACTCACAATTGTGGCTTTGTCTGTGTGAAAGGAGAGGAGAATACATTTTGCATGTTGTAGCACAGAATTTAAATAACCCCTCCCCAATCTTTTTTCTCTTTTGGGGTTTTTTTTTTTAATTATTTTTTTTTTTTTTTTTCTCTTGTTTGTGTGTTTTAATCCAGAGTGAGGGTTTGGTGAAATGCAACACAGATTTTATAATACAATATATCTTTAACTTTGAAACTTCTGTTGATTGTCTGCATATTTTCTTAACAAATAAATCAAAGTGGTTTATTCTGTTTCATCCCGGTAAGAGAAGAAAAAAAAAAGGAAAACATTTTTTTTGTTGGAAGATTTTTCTCTCTCTCTCCATTTATTGATTTTTCTTGGTTAAATTTGCTTTTCAAATTCTAATGTATAATTTACACTATTATTGAAAATCTTTTCCATCATAATTGTAAATTCCGACAGTTTATTAATTGTTCAAAATGGTTTAGTGATTAAGCTTGGTTTATACATTTGTGAAATCTAAAGGTTGATCTCCTTTTTAAAAGAAATCTCTGGTTGTTTTTGTGTCTTGGTGGATCTTACTGCGTCAAATACTGCATTTGTAGCACAACTAGTCACAGAAGTGATATCGTCACATCTGGTTGACACAATTCTCTGTCCTTAAGATTGGTTGCAGCTACAAGTGCAGCAGTCACCTTGTGAATTGTTATGGATCTGATAACAATGAAATTTCTTTCAATTTTGTTTATTTAAAAAAAAATTATTTGCTGAATTTTAATTTGACCTTAAGATGGCCCCACTTAATGACATTCACCTGTATGGTCAGTTTTGTATCTGTGATGTTTTGATATTATTTGCTTGATCAATAATTCTAAGTGCAGTGATAAATTTTGACTGAATTAGTTTACAGAGACTAGGATTTGAACTTAAGACAAGTAATTGAATCATCTATTTTGACCAATAACCTTTTCTTTTTCAAATTATTGCTGGCTACATAGCTACTGAAAAGTTTAAAGTTTGTCAATGACTCATTATTATTCTTTAATTTAGAAGAGAAACTAAAGGAAAAGTCTCTCCCACCACCACAGTTACAAGTTATGTACACATAAAATTTATAATATCAATTGCTGGCACTTCTAGTCCAGAAGTTTCAAAGCTGAGAGTGAAATGTGTGACTTTAATCTTTGCTAAAAAAAATTCAGTTAAAACATAAAATATTCTTTTTCTTGCATAAAGTATTGCAATTGTAAAATTAACAATGATGTTTCCATGTGAAGATTAGTTGTTATTGGTGAAAGCCATATGTGATCATCAAAGAAGCTGGTCAAATTAAATCTAGTATTATTTTATCTTTATTTATAACTATTTTCACTTCCTTAGCAAATGTTGACAAAGAGTTTGGAAGATGTTGCCAACATATTTGGTTGACTTTATCTAGAAAACAAACTTTTTGGCAAGTAAATCCTTTTGATTTACTTGCCAAAAAGTTTGTTTTCCATTTTTATACTGAATGAGATCAGTTGCGATTAACAAGATGAATGTGACATACTTTGCACTTCTCATGTTTGAATTTTACAATTTCCTTATTGATTAGATTGCTTTTGATTTCTTAGTCAATGGTTATTATTATTATTAATGAATCAGTCATTCTATAAATTGGTTTTTATATAATCTCTTAAAAGGTCTTACTTTTAATAACAAAACAATTTAACAAATTTAAAAAAAAATCTTTTTGATGGCATTACTCATTAGAAATTCAAATACTTTTCAAATAATCAATCACTAAAACCTAATTAAATTCTGGAACTGATCAAAAAATAATAAAAAACAAAAATCCATAATGGACAAAGTCTTACTACTTATTGGCATAGGAAACAAACATTGGAGTCTAAAAAATCTTTGATGCTATGTCAAATGTTGGGTTAGTGAGGTTATATGCTGAATCTATAGAAATTATTTCAAACATTGCCAAAAAAAAGTGCTTTTCAAATTACCAAGAGGTTGTATTTGTATCTAATATGTAAAGTCTAAAATTTGACACTCCAAAATGTCTATTATGCCGTTGTGATGAGTGAAATATGTTCTGGGAATGTCTCACTGAATAATAATCCCAAGGTTTATAACATCAATCTTTCTTCTGTCCATAAATCACTTCAGGAGAATTTTTAAAGCTGTGAAGAAAATATTCTTATTTTTTAATAACTAGTCTAGAAACATTGGAGAACTACAATGGCAAAAGTGTGGCTTTGGAAATCTTACAAGAATTCATCAAATGCCTTCCATGTCTGCCATCACATAACTCAAGGATAGTTTGAGCTGTTGTCACTAAATTTTCTCTGGTTACTAATGGGACTCCAAAACATTTTCTTTGCATATTCCAAAATATTTTAAGCTATTAGTAAGGGGTTCAATTTACAATGGAAGCATAATGCTAAACTGGACACTTACTTCATGTCCATCAGTTTAGCTAAGCAAGTTTTTATCTTTTTGCTTAACTGAACTTAACTGGACATCTAGCTGCAGATTTCCTAGCCAGAAACTAAAGTTTTTTCTTTGTTTTTCTGACCGTGAAAAACTAAAAACATAACTCCTCCCACAAAAAATACTCCTGCTATATTTATATTTGTATTATAAGAAATGGTCACCAGAGCCATATAAACATTAACTTCTTAATTAAAAAAAAAACAAACATAGTTTGGTGCTGTACTCATGTTAATTGGTGGAATAAAAAAATTACTAAGACAAGATTTTCAAAAATGTTAATATTTAAAGATCTTTTGTATGCCACACCCCCACTTCCTGATTAATTGAATATCATATAAAAGGATGGTGTTAATTTTAAAATAAGGTATGATTTAATAAATACCTAGTTCATATGAATGATCTTTTGTTGGATTCAAAGATTATGTTTAGGCCTTCAGATGGGAGTAGATTAAAATCCCAGCCTATGGCCAGACTTTTCAACTTATAGACAAAATATTTATCTTCTTGTTATCACACCTGGTAGAGTCCCCAGCTATGGGCAAAACAGTGAACCCCCAAACAAAAACGAAACACTATGAAAGTATAAAAATATATTTCTATGGTAAAAATATCAGTAATACACTTTTCTAGAAAAAAAAATCACCAACAATACCTATTTATAGTAAAATTACCAACAGTACATCAATCAACATATTAATCGATATAACATCCTTCAATTTCTTAAACCAAACTGTATTCCAAAAGATAACTTCAACAAAACTACAACATAAAACACACATCACTGCCTCTAGTAATTATGTTCACACAAACATGTATATGCACAAAAGCTGAGTATTATCTACCATGTATTCAGTTGTGGAAGACATATAACATATATCATATTTTTATTATTTCAAAGCTCAAGAAAATTAAATTTCGGCTTTAAATGACCCATAAGGAGTTGATATGCCATTAAACAAACAAACAAATTATCACTTCAAAATGTTTGCAGAATAAACAGATCATAACTGATAAGACTTTACATTCTAATAAATTACAATCCTGCTGATCTTTTTATCAAGATCAACTCAAAATGTGGCATGAGAATTAGTTAAAATTTAAAAATTAACTTTTTTTTTTCTTATTTACTTTTTTTAGTTTTTGTTTCTGTGGTGACTACAAAAGTTTATAAAGCTAAGCATATTTTTTAATCTAAAAGAAGGACTGGAAAGAAGACAATGAATTTGAATTGATTTGTTAGGAACTTTTCATGTATTGCCAACTATGAAGATTTTATTTTTTCATATGCTTCTATTAATATATTGCCCATCTGCTTTAAATCTTTTTTATTATTTCACCTGTTATAAAACATCTAATCAGCATACTTGATTTTTATTTCATTCTTATGTTCATTTTCTTCTGTTAGGCTCACAGCTCATTTTCCATCATTAAAATTCACCTACCATAAAATGACTACTTTTTTTTTTTCTTATTGAGAGAACTATTTTAAGTTCTTATAATAATTATATAGTGGACCAAAAGAAACACCACTTTTTATGTATTTATATTTTTCTGCTTAAAAATATGTTTTCTCAAATGGCTTGATTTTTCAGCCTTTCTTATTATCTAAGCATAAAAAGCCAATGCTTTCAGAGTACAACATAGAGGTTGGCCTCTGAAAGCTTTTATGATGGCAATTTCATCACATTCATGAAGGTATTCATTTTTAAATGTATTTCATGTATCATCTGAAATGTGGTAACAGTAAAAAAATATGTGTTTAGTAATCCAAACAGTCATTGAAATTTAAATGTAATTAACTGTTTCTTGGCAAGCCTTGAATAATTCCTGAAGTTCAAAATGATAATGAATTGTAATTAAGAATTTTGTTTCATGACATTTGTGGTTTTTGGCCCATAAAATAAGTGCTTTTTTTCTCTCCTTTTATATGACCTGGGGCATTCCATGGCAGGTGGATTCCAGGCAGGATACTAATTCCTCTACTTTCAAAGAGGATTTGTTAAATGTTTTTCAATTGAATGTTCCTTGTCTTTATGGCTGCACTTTGAAGAAGGCAAAATCAATCACATCTGTACACTTAGTTTCCATGTTTAGTTCAGTGATTTTAAAATTTAACCAAGCAATATTTAGAGTTTTACTGAGTTTCGTTGTCAAGTCTCCAACTTTTTGATGTCAGAAAAATATTGTGATTATTTTATAAACACTTAATTTTCATATGAACATCTGGGATTTACGATGTAGCTTCTCTTTCTTGTCTCTCAATATCCAATCTTTATTTTCTTTTCTTTCTTTACTTCATTCACAACACATACTCTTTGCTTTCAAATAAGTTTATCAAATGTTATCTTGACTATTTTTCCTGTCTATCCACTCATATTCAGATGTAAAGAAAATATTCTTTTTGTTCACAAAAAACAAAATTTTTCTCTTGGGCAAATGTAATTTATTGTCTGGTTTTTAACTTCAAGGATTTTCTTCTTGAATATGAATA